ATTTGGATTACTAACTTGTGATGCAAATTTAATCATAACCCGTTTTTGTGTGTATTGCGAATCTATTATTCAAGATAAATTACTATATTTCTATGCAATTCAATTAAGAACAAATCATGAAGCACAAATCTCAATTATGGTTACCTAAGGTGTTAACTATATTTTATGCTAACATATGTCACTTTGACTTTAATGTTCTTCTACCACAGTTCTAATTATTAAAACGATCTTCCATTTCAAATTCAATAATAATAAAGCACATAAAGTGGTCGATTTCACGCACTTAATAAAACAAGCAGAAGAAATAATCTGAATTTAAAACTTGCATAAACTAATGGAAAAGGGTTCACAAATCCCCATCGGCTTTGAATAAAATTCTAGAAATAAAACGTTTAGCTACTCATAATTATCGCGGTACAAATAACAAATCATAAAAAAAATAAGAAAAACTATGTTTGGATTCTTCGTAATTCTTCGTCACATTGTTTTCCGTTTCGTACTCTAAAATTTCGTTCTTGGATCCTGATTATCGTGCATGGTATTTCTCTTTTATAAAGGTAAAAATTTTGTGTAAAGGCAATAAATTCCTTGTGCAGATAGATTTTCCTTACTACGCAAACTTGTAGGCTCGGACGGCCATCTAAACTAATGCATAACATAATATCTAATTTGCTTCCACCAGACGTCGTCCGCCATGTGCATTTCTCGGACGATCGTCTGAAGCCTTCTTGATGTATTTTGACTAGGTTTTGCATTTTTGCTCGTTTTTTATTCATTTTTGATCATTTTGCCCTTTTAACGTCCAATTCTTGAATTTGCACCTAAAACACATAAACCAAGTTTTTCCCCGACAACTACAATTACCAGGTTACTTTCAGCGAAGAGTTTAAATGGCATCTCTCATGTGGCAGAGTCCCTTGGACAATTTTTTCATGCCAGCACACCAGTTCCTCCACCTCGCCGAGTTGGCTGGCTCCCTCCGAACCCGGGTTAGGTGAGGCTCCAGCACATCCACCCAGATTACAGTCATTGGCGGGATTATCAGAGGCCCAACGCGGAGGTCATCCTTGCATTTCACGAAAAGATCTCTGCCCCAAGCAGCATCGCGGTGGAGCTTGTTGCACTTGCTTCGGGTTTGAGATTCATCATTCAGAGACGACTTTAGAGAGTTTGGGTCGAGATAGATGCGGAGATAGAGTCCTTGATGTTCCGTATCCGTACATAAGTCATTGGAGTCTTCAGAGTTTGCTTACGGCTACCTGGAACTCCCTCCTCTCTTTGGAGTATCGGATCACACATATATATTGGGAGAGTAATTCAGTCGCTGACGATTTAGCCAACTTGGAGTATCAAACTGAGTTGGCTTGTACCTCCGGTGCAACAGAGCTCCCCAAAAGTTACTAACCAGATGATTCGGATAAGACTATCTTGGATATCCATCCTTTGAACATAGTAATCTACATAGGTGCCATGATTTTCTTGTTTTTTTCCTTTTTGTTTTCGTCACTGTCTATATTTAGTAGTTTTTTATATTAGGCACATTCCCATTTATTCTATGTTGGGAATGGATGGGGATATCGTAGTTCGTTTGTGTCTATTTGAAGTTGTTTGATTGTCGCATGGTGCCATACTTTTTGCAGTATTTATACCTATTTTGCCCGTCTTTGGTGGAATTGTAAGTAGCTTCGGTTGTTATGTGAGGTGAACGATTTCTCAGGATTTTCCTATATTTTCTGTGATCATTCTCATTCTTCTGTCTTATCTTTAGTTTGGGCTACCTGTTTGTTTTGCCCGTGTTATTCAACTTTTGATAGCCTTTTTTTTTTTTGTAGGTTTATGTTTTTAGCAATTTTTATGTATTCATTGTTTTTTTATCATGGACAGATTGGGGGTCCAATCCAACTCCCCACCCTCATTCAAGTGTCGCTCTTCTATATAAAAAAAAATAAAAAAAAAACAAATAAAACCAAGTCTTTAAGCACCAAAAGTAAATAAAACCTAACAAAAATTCAAGTAATAAAATATAATTTGAGTGTTAAATCTATCATCAACACACCCCCAAACTTGAACTTTTTCTTGTCCTCAAGCAAAACAAATAATTTGCAACGCAATCGAATCCAACAAATGCATCTCACGATATAGATAATTGGTCAACTTCACATTTTCCGAACCTGCAATTGTCTTAACCATTCTCAAAAATTTACAAGCTCGCAATTCAAAGACACTTATTTGCTTACCATTGCTAATAACCAAATTATGAATTGCTCCAACCATCTAATAGTTGTAATCTAAAAATGGAGAAACTTATACTTACATAATAATATTCGACACCAAAGGCTCACCAAATTCCTCTACTCTGCTTATATTGAATAGTTGAGCTATAGGGATCATTGGGACTTTTTGATTTTCAACAACAATTGTTGGGGTCTTTGGTCAAGAGAAGCAATATGGGATAAGTGACTATTTTTCCCCTTTGTACCAACTCATTCTTGACTAAAGAGTTGCACCGATGGATTCTTAAATCCTTTCTTGAATGTGTTTTCGCCAAATATTTGAAGATTGGGGTTTTGGAATAGTTTATTCACCTTTAAGGACTTATTACACTACTTGATTCTCAAGACTTTAAAGGCCTTCACCTTTGCTCTTCAAGTATGGTTCGAGTTTTATTTGAATTATTTGCTCATGTCCTCTTGTTCCATTCCTAGTTCTCTTCTTCTTCTTCTATTCTTCTTCTTCTTCTTCTTCTTTTCTTCGAGAAGAAGAACGTAACAAATCTCAAATACACTCCAAGAGATAATTTTCAAGAAATCATGCATCTAATCTACCCAGTTTAATTTGATTAAAATAAAGAACAATGTTTCTCCAAGGTACAAGCAAGATTCTAGTGATGAAAATGTTGAAGGGTAGGCTTGAAATGCTCAAATTATTTAAAGAAGGTTCAAATCACGTCCCAAATTATTCAATGACTCAATGTTCGGTTTGTAGATTCCTAAGGTGAATTCTAAAACTGAATATCTTATGATATATGTTAGAGAATATTATATTATAGAACTCTCCTAATATTAGGATTCTAGTATGATTCGGTTACCTAGATTAGTTAAAATTTAGTTACCTAGTCAAACTCTATTACCTTGCAACATTTATCTATATATATTCTATGTAATCAACCCATAATACAATAGGGGTTTCTATTATATTACATATTATTATTTATCACCTTCTCCTCTTCCATTCTTCCTATATGGTATCAGAGCGCCAGGTTTTTTAACCTAGCCGCCTTTCTTCTCCATGGCGATGACCACCCGATTTTCTCCCTTCCCCGGTGGTGGTACTTCTAATATCTTTCTTTTTCTATCTTTTCTGTGAACACCACCCGAATTTTCTCCCTCCCCGGTGGTGTATCTTCTCTATTTTTTCCGTTCTTCTTCTTCCTCTTTTCTTCTCCATGGTCTAAAACCTAGTCGCCGCCTCTTCTCTTCTCCATGGCCGGCGAACACCACCCAATCTTATTCCCCCCTCTCTCATCTCTTCTCTCTATCTCGATTAAAAAAAAAAAGAAAAAAAAAAGTTGCTTATTTTCCTATCTCCCATTATTACTATTATTATTGTTTTTTTTTAAATTGGGCAGATATTTCCACAGAGGAATTCTCTAGCATTGTGTTTCGCGACTTCTGTCCAGTCTTCACTTTTGAAGTTTATTCGTTCCGACTGCGGGAGCGTGTTTGCAAGTGATTGTCCAGTCTTCACGTTCGTCACGTTTCGACTGCGGGGGCATGTTAGAGAATATTATATTATAGAACTCTCCTAATATTAGGATTCTAGTATAATTCGGTTACCTAGATTAATTAAGATTTAGTTACCTAGTCAAACTCTATTACCTTGAAATATTTCTCTATATATATTCCATGTAATCAACCCATAACACAATGGGGGTTTCTATTTTATTACGTACTTCTCTTCTCTCTTCTATTCTTCCTATAATATATAATAAATAACCTCCACGTTTAAAACACAAAATTATCAATAAAAGTAAAACCCGATCCGTGATTTCTAACAATGATTTACTCCTAAGTTACTTTGACTCGAAAGCTCATCATAATTCAATCATGGGTAAAACAAAGCAAGTGATTTCATCATCAAATATTGACCATCTCTCATCATCACATTTTACCGGCATTTGACTCAAGCAAAGCCTCCTTTTTTTTTTTTATAAAGCAACTAAAAATAAACATTCTAAGGCATGAAATCTAAAATACATAAAGTACATAAAAAGTGATTTCCTACCCCCAAACTTAAAATTTACAATACCCTTAATGTAATTAGAACAAAGTTCAAGTATAGAATAGACCAGACTAGTTGGAACACCCTTCTCTTATGCTTCGGGTCGAAGATTAGCACAAATTCGGTCTCTTGTTGGATCACATGATTGGAGATGAAGAGTGGATGAATTGGAGAAGATTCGGTGCAAAAATTACCCCCAAACTCAGTACCAGGAAATCGTCGAACATTGCGCGCACAATCTTTGAAAAGCTACGTTTTAGATGAATTTGGATTGTTCTTCAAGCCAATCTTGTCAACAAATCAACAACAATTTCAAATTTTAATGATTTGGACGAGTGTTTTATTTGATTTGTGTGAAACTGGAACAATTTTCAAAGGAGAGAGAAGGATTTGGCTCGAAAGTGGGAAAGGAAATTGTTAATGGTTCTGCGTATTCGGCCCCCTTAAATCCATTATTTCTTTTTTGTGCTCGGACGGCCGTCAAGTATTTTGAAATGTTTTTCAGACAGTCGTCTGGATTTTCGCTTTGTCTTTGGGACGGCCGTCTGGGCTTTTAACGTGCGATATTCGACCTGAAAATTAAAACATGATTAAATTAGTAGATTGCATGCTTATAAAAATCCTAAGAAAATGGAAAATAAAGAAAAATATGGAAAATGATAAATACTCGGATTGCTTCTGGAAAAGCACTAAGTTTCTAGTTTTCAGCCAGACTTTTTTTAAGCGAAAGTGACCGAAGTCACATGGCGGTCCTCGTTATTTCTCCAATAGTGCTTCAACCGATTCTCGTGCACTTTGAATGTTCGATCAGGGTTTCGATCCTTCATCTCAATTTTTGGTGACTTTTTTATCGATGCCTTGAATTCCTTTGGTGCGACGAGAGCGGTTCCCAAGCTCTCGAACGGACGTCTCAAGATTTTGTTTTTGTGCCACCGTTTGACTTTGTCCTTGTAAACCCAATTACTTCCATAGTCATTCTCTCTTATCTCGTCTAGCTCATTGAGTTGTAACATGTGTTTTTCCTTGCGCTCTTTGTAAAATTCAACCTCTTGATTGCCCTCGGTGTTGTATGAGCAGTATCCAAACTCTTGATCCATTTGGAAACGTTTCGGCCGAGTCTAACCAACAAACTTGCTCATCTACCCTCTTGTCTCCACAATCGTCTCCTGCAACCAAAGATGCTTCCAAAAGATCCAAGATCATAAAATCATTTTTTCAAGAATAATAGAATCCAAAACATCAATGGTAAAACATTCATTGGTATCATGCGGACGCATAATTGCATTAAAGATATTGAATTTAATCGTTTGATCGTGGAGAACCATAGTAAGATCACCACTAGCAAAATCAATGATGGTAATGGCAGTAGCTAAAAACGGCATCCCTAAAATAATATGTATCTCCATATCCTCATTCATATCAAAAATAACAAAATCAGTAGGAAGAATAAATTTATCTACTTGCACTAAAACATTCTCTAAAATTCCTTCCGGGTAAACTAGTGATCTATCAGCTAGCTGAAGAGTCGTCGATGTTGGTTCAATTTATCATAACTCAAGACTCTTATAAGTAGACAAAGCCATAAGGTTAATGTTAGCTCCTAAGTCAATAAATGCTCGAAAAAATTTATCTCCTATAGTGCAAGGGATAGTGAACTTACCTGGATCGTCGAGTTTCTGTGAGAGTCGTCTTCTAAGAATTGCACTGCATTGTTCCGTGAGGAGTGATCATCTCGTATTCCTGCAATTTCTTTCGTTTGGTCACTATGTCATTAATGAATTTTATCCATTTAGGCATTTGCTAAAGTGGTTCGATGATGGGGATATTGATCCGGATTTTCTTCAGCTTGATTACGAAACTTTGGTATTCGGCATCGAGCTTTGTGTTTTGAAACCTTTGAGGGTGTGGAATGGGCAGGGCCAGTGCGACTTTAGTTGTCGAAGGATTTCCGTGATATTTTTTTCCTCCGTCATTGCCTCTACAACATTGGTTTTTTTGCTTGCCTTCTCTTTCTGTGGGACCTCCTCTAATTGCTTGTCGTTTCTCAGACTAGCGGTTTGGCAAAATTCGCGTTGCTTCTTTATAGGGTCCTTCGTGTTTCATGGCAAGGATCCTGCAGTGCGATTGATTCTTTCTAATGTTATTTGTGCCATTTGATTCTCCAACTTTCGGAAGAACTCCTCAGTGACTGTCATGAATTGTGCCATCCTCTCCTCAAAACTTATGTTTGGAACTTGGGCCAGTGGATGGTTCCCTTGATAGGCTTATTGTTGGACATGCTACTGAAATTGATCCTGAGGTCTCGAGTATCCTTGGCCTTGTTGATTTCCTCCATATTGATTTTGTGGTGGTCTCCATCCCTAATTGAAAAATTGTCGAGGTGTATCGTTGACATGTTGAGTGATTTCATCTCTTATTGGCATTGATTGGAATAATGATTTCCCCCACAAATTTTGCAACATGATGATTCATCCGGTGATTGCATTGCTTGGACTTGTTGTGGTTTGAGTTGATTTGTTTGTGCAACCGGAGCCATCAAAGTTGTGAGTGCATCTAACTCCAAAACTCTTGGAACTTTCTTGGCTCAACTGATAATCCTTTCGCTTGGCTCGGTCAACCTGTTTTGCAAAATCTGATCCAATAAAATAAATGCATCAGTAATAAAATAAAATTACCTCCCTAAGACGCCTCAAGGACGGTTCTCGAATTCTCATTGAGCCATTGATAGAAGATATGCACCTGACGCTATTGTTCCACCTAGGGGTGTGAACGAGCCGAGCTCGCCTCTTTTGGCTGGCTCGAGCTCGAGCTCGAGCTCGTCGAGTTCTTCTTTTTTTGGCTCGAGCTCGAGCTCGTGTTAATTTTGTCGAGCTCGAGCTCGAGCCCAATCTCTCTTTTTTTTTTTTTTAAAAATATTTTTTAATTATTTTTTAATATTAAAAATTATTTTAAAAAAATAAAAACTAAATTGTGATTATATATTTTTTTAATATTTGTATTTATTTCTATAATATTTTATATTATTATACATTATTTAAATAAAAATAACATATAAAAAATAAAAAAAATAAAAAAAATAAAAAAAATAAAAAAAATAAAAAAATAATAATAAATCCGGCTCGCGAGCCGATGAACAACTAAAATCCGGCTCGAGCTCGGCTCGTCAGAAAGCTCGAGCTCGAGCTCGAAAACCTTGAGTCCGAGTTCGAGCTTTTTACGAGCCGGCTCGTCGGCTCACGAGTTGGCTCGGCTCGTTTACCACCCCTAGTTCCACCCCATGAGTTGGACATTGCCTTAGAAGTATCTTGAATCTTTCCCAAGCCTCGAATAGTGCCTCACCTTGTTCTTGAACAAAATTGTGGATCTCCCTTCGTATCCTTTCATACTCAATTGAGTTGTAGTTAGTTCTGAAGAGTTGCAAAATTTGAGGCCATGAGGAGATAAATTGAAGAGCTTGAGATATCAACTAATGGCGAGTTTTTCCTTGTACAAGTGTTTGAATATGAGTAGCAGGAGTGCTTCTTGGGAAACATCGTTTTAACGATGTTTATTATAAGTATCCAGAAAATTTACTATGTGAAGATGTGGATCTTCCCTTGTCAAACCACTGAACAACCCATTATTCAGGAGCATGGTCAAAAGTCCTTCTTTGATCTCGAAGTTACGAGCGTCAATAGGTGGATATTGAGTGCTAGAACATAATCCATCAAGAGTGGGATTATGTAGTCCTGAAGTGTCATATTTTCTCCAACTGGCAGTGGAAGTCTGAGGGGCTGCACTTGAATGCGATTTCCAGCTTCAACGATCTAATACCCTTATGTGTCTCCTCGTCCGTCACCCTCCATTCTATTGTTCTCGCGTTGGATTCGTCTAGCTGCTTGAAACGTGCGTTCGGTCACGGGATCAAACGACGCTCTGTCGAAATTGAGTCTCGTTTGTATAAAAACTGTACAATCAAGAACAAAGCATTAAGCACAAATCTCAATTATGGGTACGTAAGGTGTTACCTATATTCCTATGCTAACGCATGTCAATTTGGCTTGAATGTTAACAGTTCTAGTTATTATACTGATCTTCCGATTCAAATTCAATAATAACAATAAAGCACTTAAAAGTGGTCAATTTCATGCACTTAATAAAACAAATAGAAGAAATAATCCGGAATTAAAACTTGCATAAAATCATGGAAAATGTTTCACAAATTAAATCCCACACAGGGTTCGAATAAAATCTTAAAAATAAAACCTTTAGCTACTTATAATTATTATGATGATAAACAAATAAGAAATCATAAAAGAGATAAGAAAACTATGATTGTGTTCTTCGGAATTCATCGTCACACCGTCTTCTCGTTTTGTGCTCTAAAATTTCGTTCTTGGATCCTAATTTTCGTGCACTGTATTTCTCTTATATAAAGGTCAAAACTTGGTGTAAAGATAAGAGATTCCTTATGCGCATGGACTTTCCTTACTAAGCATACTCGTAGGCTCAGACGACTGTCCAAATTGCAGTGTAATTTCTCGGACAGCCGTCTCAAACGTCCGAATTACAGTCTAATTTCTCGGAAGGCCGTCTCAAAATGCATAACATTATGTCCAATTTTCCTCCACCGAACGGCCGTCGGGTTTCCATGTGCATTTCTCGGACGGCCATCTGAAGCCTTCTTGATGTATTACAACCAATTTTTCCATTCTTGCTCGTTTTTTATCCCTTTTTTGCCATTTTACTGTTCTAAAAATCCAATTCTTCAATTTACAATATCACGAATAATATAATTCTAACTAATTCAAGCAATCTTATCGACATCATAACATTTTCAAGGCTTACTATTCACATGGACGTCCACAAATAATTTCTAAATCTTACGTCCACAAATAACAGTTCGGTTTACGTCCACAAAACATGACCATCAATGGATATTTCGATTTGCATAAAAACCCCACTTGCAATCAATTCATATATATTGCACGCCCCACATGGCCACAAGTACAACAATATCCAACTATAAATGAATCCGACCCGACCCGTAAAATAAATGGGTCACATGTTCAGAGAAAGTGACCCGTACTTACCCAGATACCATAAATGGACAACACAACTAAAAATAACATATATCCAAATCCAAGTTTCAATAAAAAGGCCATTTCAGAACAAATCAAACATCAAAACAGATCAAATGGATTTAATGCAGAGGACCACTCACCACAAATAATTCCAATATGAAAATAATACTGATGAATGAATAAAGTAGGACCGTAAAAATCGACAACCGTAACCTACCGAGAAAAAAAACAAGAAATCAAAATATTTGTAAATCGGATATTGGTCAAGCTTCTTCCAATCATTTAACTCGTAAATACGACGCCGTAACAGATGTCTCTGTGTTTGCAATAAAATCCAAGCCGAATAAAATGGAAGATAAAATTATTTTTAAAAAGTAGAGCAGTTTTTCGAGACGAAAGATCTCCAAAGGCGTAAATAATAAAAGCATTTCATTGGATTATAAAAGAGAAAAAATGTCTTCGAAATCGATTATACTCAGCACGAAAGTCCTGCTTTGAGCTCAACGGCAACCGCATCAATGAACTCTTCAGTGTTGAGATAGTGCTCTCTGGTTAGCCTAATCCAATTAAAAAAAAAGTATTAAAAAACTGATTTACATAAAACGAGACAACTTTTCGATTTTGAAATTTCCAAGTATTCGTTGGAATTTTGAATAAATTCTGTAAATAATTAATTACCTGGATCCATGGATGATGAGAGCAAGATCCTTGGTCATCTTTCCGGATTCCACAACACCAATACAAGCTGCTTCTAGTTTCTCGGTAAATTCCAATAGTTTTGCATTGTCGTCCAACTTTGCCCTAAAATAAATAAATAAATAAAATGATTTTAAATTTATTATTTTTTCCATGAATACAACAAATTTGTAGAAGGTGATAAATTGAGTTTACCTGTGTGCGAGGCCACGAGTCCAAGCAAAGATAGAGGCAATGCTATTTGTACTGGTTTCGCCGCCTTTTTGGTGAACCCTAAAGTGACGAGTAACAGTTCCATGGGCAGCTTCGGCCTCAATTGTCTTGCCATCAGGGCAAACCTGAATTCAACGCAATCCAATATTCTATCAGAATCCTCGTATAATAAATCGTGTTTATTTCGAAAAAGTATTGACAAAATATACTCTGTACAACAAAAATTCATCTTTCAAATTTGCGGTCAACTCTGGGATATTTCGATACAAATTACATAATTGTTTCACGAAAATAATAGAACTCCGAGCGAAGCTTGTCAACATAAATCATTTGATTTAAGTAAAGAATTAATTAGTAAAATAGTATACTCTTTTAAAGAAAACAAACAGATTCCAGAAACAATTCGCTTCATTAAATAAATAAAAGATCCCGATATTCTTTTACATTAAGTTACAAAAATTAAACACACGATTTCTTGAAATTTTATTTTCAAGAAATTTGATACTAAGGTTAAAATCCAATTGGCAACATATATATGTATAGTATCTGTATAAGAGAATCAGACGTACCAAGACAGAGGTCATCAGCCCAAGAGATCCAAACCCTGTGTAAATGTAATTCCAAAATTCACTTTAAATTATTGGAGCAAAATAAAACGAATAAATATTGATAATCGCTGCATATAAATTTTTGAAGAATTATTTTTCCATACCTTGTGCTAAGAAATCACTCTGCACATCACCATCGTAGTTCTTGCAAGCCCATACATAGCCTCCTTCGCTCTTTAGAGCGTACGCAACCATATCATCAATTAGACGGTGCTCGTACCTAAATATAAATAGTACATAGTTAACACTAAAAATAATAAGTGAACAAAAAAAAGCAGTTGCTCATAAAAACCAATTGTGAAACTCACCATATTCCTGCAGCCTCAAACTTCGATTTCCATTTAGCTTCGTAAACTTCTTGGAATATGTCTTTGAATCTTCATTTAAGATATAAATTATACAGACAACATTAAAAGACAGTAATAAAAGATGGAAAAAATTGTACTTCAGTCAAACAAATAAGCTGCTTACATACCTGCCATCATACTTCTTGAGAATTGTGTTCTTTGTGCTAAGATACAACGGCCATTTTTTCTCGTAGGCAGTGTTCATCGAAGCATCGGCAAAAGCATTGATGGACTGTCACAAAAAATATTGCAATCGGAACTATAAATCAACCACCAACAAAAGAATACTGTAATACAAAAACCTTGTATACTAAAAATTCGGCAAAAAATAAACCTCGTCAGTGTTGTACATAGACAAAGCAACCCCACCAGCACCAGTGAAATTGTAGACCTCTAAATCTGTTGTCTCTCCGTTTCCTTCTGGCACTGCATACAATTCAAACACTAATTGTTTAATTTTTGTTTCGATTAATTTTAAATTCTTTTATTTCAAATTCTTCAATCCAAACGAACCCTTAGGCAGAAACAAAGTATATATATATATATATATATATATATATATATACATATATATATATAATATATAAATAAATAAAAATGGATAAAAACAGCCATACCGAAAACCATTTTGAGCTTTCCAGGTCCTTTGATTACTGCATCGGTTGCTTTGTATTGATCTCCAAAGGCATGCCTTCCAATGCAAATCGGCTTCGTCCATCCTAAAATACACCGAAAGAATAAATTAACCACAATTGAATAAATTAATTAAATGGAGATATGAAATCAACAGAATTAGAAGACAACAACTCGTACCTGGAACAAGACGAGGAACATTTTTGCAGAGAATTGGTTCTCTGAAAACCGTACCTATATCGAAATTCGGTTGACTATTATTTATAATGGACCAAAATCATTTACACAATTGGTTGACTAATACAAAAATCAACGGAATCAATAACTCACCATTCAAAATATTTCTGATTGTACCATTTGGACTCTTCCACATATTCTTCAAGTTGAACTCCGTCATACGAGCTTCATCCGGAGTGATCGTCGCACACTTAATCGCCACATTGTATCTTTAATTTTGAACATAATATAAACTTGTTAGATAAATAAATTACGAAAATGCCACTGAAAATTAACATAAATTGACACATACTTGAGAGTAGCTTCAGCACTCTCAACGGTAACTTTATCGTCTGTGGCGTCACGGTGAGGAAGGCCGAGATCGTAGTACTTGATATCCAGCTCCACGAAGGGGAAAATCAACTGAATTCAAAATTCACATTTTTAAAAAAAAATAGTAAATAAATAAATAAATAAATAAAATAATACAAAATGTGAAGCTTATTTACCTTCTCTTTGATAAATGTCCAGATTACCCTTGTCATCTCATCTCCTGAAGAAAAGAAAAAACACAGAGATTTCAATAAAACGAATAATCAATTGTATATAAACACAAGATCAAAACAATAAATAAATCAGACATTTAAGAAATAAATCAAACAAATTGACCCCAAAACACACACACACACACATGAATATATAGATAGAAAGATTAGATCAATTACTCTTACTCAAAATATCTACAAACAGAGTAACAGGCACTACTGCAACAAAAGCTAAAAAGTTGAGATCTTAAAGTATTTTAATTTCTCCTTTACCACAGATAATATTTTTTTATTTATTTTTTCTTATTAGATTAAATCAACATATAAAAACAATTCAAATTATAATTTCTACAGAAATACGATTTGATTATCCATCGCGCACACATACACAAACAGCGGCAAACAAAATCACGATCGATTAAACACCAGATCCATGCAAACCATAGATTGAAACGAAAAACAAAACATATCAATGAAAAAAATAGAAAGAAGGAGATCTGAATCTAACCGTCCATCTCAACGATGGGGTTGGCCACCTTGATCTTTTCAAATGCCATTTCTTTCTCTTTCCTCTTTTTTTTTCGCACAGAGAGATGAACCAGAAGAGAGAGAGAGAGAGAGTATTTAATGGGGGATGTGAAGAAAAATCTCCGTCGTCTGCAGTAACGAAGAGAGTAGGTGAAGTGGGGCTTTTTGAGGTTTGAAAGGGTGAAGTGTCCCACGAAACTAAAATGCTGCTTATATAGACATTTCTTTATGTTTTTTCTCCACCTCTTTTTACCATACTACCCCTCGTGAGCTGTATCACTGATGATTGACTCCTTTTTTATTTTTTATTTTTTATTTTTTATTTTTTTATTTTTTTTATTTTTTTTATTTTTGTTTGGAAGTGCTTTTAATGGGCTAATTAGGGAGAATCCCCTCAAAACACATTCAGGTCGAATCTTTTTTTTTTCACAATTTAGCAATATTCCTTATAATTATCTTAGAGGGCATATTACGACCATTCTCTGAGTTATGAACAATTATGAAGAAAAAATACTTTATGTTTGGATAATTACAGTTACCCTCATTTATGTATTATCTTACGTAAAAACTCTACCATAGGTAAATTTAGGGAGTTAGATCGGTATAATCGACCAAAATTTCGGTACGCCAAATTTTCTTATCGTTTACCGATCTAAATATAAGATTTGGTTCGGTAAATAATCGAATTACATAAATTTTATGTAAAAATATTTAACAGGTGGAGGGTGATTGTGAATTACCCAAAGTGAGGACGTGTTAGAAGATTATGTTGAATTTATCATCATAAAGGTGGACATGTAAGAAAATTCATAGTTGAGGGAAGTTGTAATTATCCAAATATGATGGGGGATTTCGTAATTTGACCATATATCAGGGGAATGGTTGTAATATGCCCAAAAAAATTTCATTTTTTCTCTCAATTAGTTTACCCAGTGTTTTACCTTTAAACCAAACTGGAAATTGAAGTTTCACTTTTTTACTTGCCATTTTACATGAACCAATCAGAGTCCAAATACGTGCAAATTGAACAATTACCAAAACGATTTCATGGTGAGATTTATCCATTAACGTCCATCTCGATGTGGCATCTATAAAATTTGTGATACAAGTTATCCAAATGAAATGTAAACAATGACTTTTCTTTTTGAAATATCCAAATTAGATTTTTCCAAATTTTTCAAAGTGAAGAAACTAGTGATTCGCTGACCTTTTTTTTTTTTCTTGCTGTGATACTTCAAAATTTTCTTTCAACTTTATTTGGTGATTCATGGTGCAATATTGCAATTTGTATATTAAAATAAATTAAGATTTATATATGTTTTGTATTATGGGCTATGGTAAGTATTTCATTTATTATTTCTCACCTAAAAAAATATCTAGTTCCTGTATTAGTTTTGATGTTTATCATTTAGAGGTTTAAATTTTACGGTCTTTGAAAAATGGTGCCTACAAATAAAAGAGAATGGGTGTCTAGTGCAATTGGAATCATTATAGGTATTTTTAAAATATTATAATTTATCATATGAGTAATTTTAGTTTTATGATTTTAAGAAAGTGGGTGTTTTTTATTTATGAAAATTTGTCTAAGTTTCTGAAAGTTTTTAAAATGTTAAAACTCATTTAATTTCCAAAATTTCCATAGTTTTTGGAATTGGAATAAATTTATAGATTCTGAAAATTTTGGAATTGTAATTAGACAAAGAATTCTGATAAGATTATTTTCAATTTGTTCGATTCGACTTCCACACCCCTAATTGTGAGTAAAGTTTGCAATAATTGCTTCTTCTCAAAAGTTTTGGGTGCTTACACATGTATTTAACAATCTAACTTAAAGCATTTATAAGTGTATCAATACCACATAGTACAAGAAGGCAAACTGTATTTTGCCCTTGTATAACATAATAACTCATTCATAAATTATGTAAACTTTGTTCTAACTTTTATCCTACTTAGTGGGCTTTATCGAATTATATTCTTGCATATTTGTACATAAGTTAGATATATGTATACATGTGATTGTGTGGAATCCATATGAAAATAGCTGGTTGAAATTCACCAAGTTCAGCATAAAATAAAAGATTTTGTAGAACTTACGTCTGGTGAAATGATGCATGTTGTCTACACATATCTACATGTATGTGTGGATAATGTTATTTATATAAATTTACGAAAATTACATAGTATATTTCACCAGGTGTAGAATCTCATAAACCAAAAATAAACGACGATCTGATGCCTTATTTTCTTGTGTGGCAGACCACCTACCGCAATCATACGAGTCACGACGTAATTGCATGAATGATATATTTGTATAGGTCCAATTAGAAGCAGTTGAAATGCGGTGCTACACTTAAAAGAAGTATGTTTGGAAATGTTCCGGACATAAATTATGAGCTTTTTCAGATTAGGGATGATTACGGGTTCGTTCTGAGATGGTTTGTCTAAATTCAAAGCTTAATACGCGAAAAAAATATAAAATTCAGATCCGTTACAACTCGTTTTAGCCTAGACCCTCATTCACACCGCCCGGATCTAATTCGAATTAAACGGTTCTGATCCACTAGACCCGTTAACATTTAACAAAAAGTTGAACATTCTTTAACTTTCATTAATATTTTGCTTGTATATTTTAACAAAAGAATCTCAAAATTAAAATGCAATATTTTTCAAGTGATATAAAACGAATAATAAACTTATCTAATTAATTATAGTTTTAACTTCTACAATAAATAATGTACAAAATGCAGGACCGCTAGCGATGGTCGACAAGTAATAGTTATGACTTGCGAAAAATTAGATTAAAAAATTGAAAAATGAAGAAAAGGGTAAATAAAAATAGACACGATCAAAATTGAATTTTTGATATATATATATATATATATATATATATATATTAATTGTTAAACATAATATATTTATACGGTTCGGTTTCAATAAGACCGGTAATCCAACCTAAAATTATTGGGTTCTAGAAACTAAAATTCATTATCTGACTCATAGCCATTTAATTTATCCAAACCTGGTCCAAACGGGTCAGTTCGGGATCTTAGACCCGACAAACCTTAAATATCTGTCTTATTAATTGAATTGGATTTTCCCAATATTTGAAAAGGGTCATTGTCGATTGTTCTGTCAGAACAAGTTGTTTGATTTTCTCGACTCTTTACAATGTGTTTTATAACCCACAAAATCTTCATCTGCTGGCTGTGGCGGCCCTACCCCGTCGCTCCCACCTTACAAAATCCACACCCTTCTCTAGGGGTGCAAGTTAAACGGAATTTCCAATTTTAATAATAATAATAATAATAATAATAATAATAATAATAATAATAATAATAATAATAATAATAATAATAATAATAATAATAATAATAATAATAATAATAATAATAATAATAATAATAATAATAATAATAATAATAATAATAATAATAATAATAATAATAATAATAATAATAATAATAATAATAATAATAATATTGTTTACAACCCTATGTCCAATGCATACTTTGGATTAAGGAACTTCAACTCCAAAAAAATATGTCAATATATTCTCAAGTCCTTAATTTGAAGATGACTGAACCAAGTATTCTTCATCTTCATATGTGTCAATAATTTTCTGCTTATGATTAATTATTTTTTGATTAGCCACAATTATTTATTGCATAAAAAATGATTATATAATGGAATCAAACTAAAATAGACTTAAAAAAAATTATTGAAAACCATGCATACCAAAACTTGAGAGTTGAAGCGTTGTAATATCCTTAGGGCTCGTATGGTTAGCTATATCGAATAAGTTTAGATTAGATGAGATTGAATTAATTCTCTACTGAATAATTAATTATTTACTTAGCATAACGTTCGGTTTGTAAGATTAGATCTTGTATTAAATATGTTAAATTCTAGTATTACATGTGATTTGTCTATAAAACCTTTTATTTAATAAAATTAACATGTAGTTTGAAGGATAAAATAGTCTTTTTTAGTCGCCCCATATTAAATTAATCTCACGTGCGAGGGGTACTAATTTAATGAAATAGTAGCATTTAATAGCGGACTTTGATTTTAGTAGCGGATTTGAAAAAATGTGAATCCTGCCAACCGAACATATTACGAGCCCCTAGTATTTAGTTAGTAGAACCTTATAACTATAACCAAACGAGCCCTTAAGCTACAAAGATAAATACTTCAGATGCAAACATATATGGATTGGTTAATACATATATAATGTGCTTTAATAGATTACACTATTTCATAAAACTTGTTTATAAATTTATATTTTTATAGTAGTTTTTACTAGTTTTATGAAATATAAGTACATTAATAGTTATTTTTGTTTAATACATAATGTGCTTTATTTTCCGATAAGATTAATATTTAACTAAATTATTTATATAATGAATTAAAATGAGAAACATATAACTTTTATTAATAAAAAGTCGATTGGTCGGTATTACTGACTAATCGACTTTCAAGATTATTTCAACCAATGAAACTGTCTGGTTGTCTGGTTTTACTGGATCAATTGATGATTAATTATTACTTATTAGGGGCTTTTTGAAAGAAAGAAAAAAATCATTATTTGCATCAAAAGGCGAAATCTCTCGCTTTCAGGGCCCCATCCCTTGGCCCAACAGGTATTTGATGAAGGGATGTAGACCTCCATTACTTCTTTTGATGGGGAGAGACCCAAAATATTTTACTTCATTTGAGAAAAACTCACACCCATTTCTAGCCATAATCATTGGGTCACGCGCCCACATCGTCACTGCAACATGCTGGTCATTAGCCGTTTTTTCCTTTTTCTTTTTTTGTTTTTTTTTTGTTTTTTTTTTGTATCAGTTTTATTAATCAACTATGAAGCATAGTCGATTAAGGAAAATCTTAAAAAAAATTCTTTTCGTTTTTTAATTTTCTTTTCTCTATCAGGTATATTATTCGCCTGTGAAGCATAGTCGATTAAGAATCTGACTACTAAAAATAACAAATCACAACTAAAAAAAATGCAAAATCAACTATATTTTACAAAATCGAAAAATATGCAAACATTATGGAGTAATTGATTCATACAATTGGAATCAATAAGCAAAAAAAAATCTAAAGAAAAAAAATGGAGTCGATTAAGCCTTAATCGACTATTGAACATAGTCGATTGACTATTTGACGTAGTCGATTAAGCCTACGCGAATTTCTCTGTCCGCGCCATCGTCCGTTTAATATACCCAAAAATCCTAGATATGTCACCCATCGTCACCATGCCGTCACCATACCGCACCATCACATCCCCAACCATTAACATCGTTTACCTCGCCACGTCCCCTCCAACATCGACCGTCTCCCCGCCAAATCAGCACATCTGAGTGTAATTAGTATTGTTAGAATTATTCCGTGCAAATTAATTATATATTTGTGTCCGATGAATTCCAGATTCAGTTTTAAATACCGTTTTACTGTTTTACGAAGAGTTTCAACAGTTAATGAAACAGTAATAAAAAGACACAAATTTTAAAGTGGTTCGGATACAATTGTACCCTACATCCACGGGGACCTGCAAATGAAATTTACTAATCTTTAGTTTTACGAATACAATAATAGGACTTAATCGAAATGCAAAGACTCCCTCTTTGTCGACCCCGTTCTTGTATACTACGCTGAATTATCAATCTTCACTTTGCAGCACGTCCTTGTTCTGCACGGTTGAAATTCCTTCAACGCTGAGTCCCTCAGTCGGCGGATCGACCTCCTCCCGAGATCTTCTGAGTTCTCCTCCCGAAGAACCGATCTTCTTTTCGGTGAAAGAAACAAATCCTTTTTCTGTATTTTTCTTCTCGAATTAAGATCGAAAGGTCTGGAGCAGCAACGTAAGAGCAAAAAATAAATTTTCTCTCAAAAATAAAAGGGACAGCCTTCACACACGTTGATGCTCTTCTTTTTATATTTCCTTAGTTGAATAGTAGAGCCCTACACAAGATTAGAGCCCATTAGATTAGTTTTAATCTCACGTAAGGAAAAAAAAAAAAGAATTGTGTAACAAGGAAAGTCTTTGTCAAGAAAATTCCTTGTTAACAAAACACTTAGGCAATTAAATAAATTAATGACAAAATAAGAGTTTAAAGAACTAAGGAAACTTCCCTAGTTTTTATACACGTTTTTCACAAACGTGCTGAAAAACCGAAATTAGAATCCTCTCGTATTCTAACAATCTCCCCCTTTGTCATCCATTTATTATAATCAAGTCCTCCCCCTTAATCAAATACCTGTCAAAACATTAAACTGCATAATAGAGTAACTGTTAGAACAGTTCAAACAAAAACATCAGTCAAAAGGAGAACAGAGTTAAGCCTATCAGACTATTACATGCCATTGTTCAGAAAATAACTCCAACAATAAAACAAAAAAAAAATTAGTCCAGAATATCCTCAGCATCAACGAACAGCTCCCCTTCATCATCCGTATCAGCCTCAGCTGTTGCATCATCAACTGTTGGAGCAGTTGGAACAACAGTTGGATTAGTAGATCCAGCAGCAGCAGCAACTCCCCCTGTACGAGATACCTCCTGATGTGATGCTTCGTTGCCAACTCCCCTGAAAAATCTCCCCCTTTCTGAGCAAGGGCAATAAAATAGTCGAGTTTTTTCTTCAGTTCTGCTGTACGAGCTACCACAGCCTCATATTCAGACGAGAGGTGGGAGATAAAATCCGACAGTAAAGGAGCGGTAGCGGAAGGAGCACCCTGGCAACCGGAAGAAGGAGATGGACGGCACGGCAAGTCATCCACGCGGGGCACACGGCGAGAATCGGACTGAGGGTCCACTATCTTCGAAGAGACAGAGAGAGGAAGTGGGAGAGACGGAACTGCGTGCTTCCGATTTCTGACGTAGCCTTGGTCACTCATCAAACGGTAGATCAATGAAGGAAACGGGAGAGAGTAGGCGGTAGACTGAGAGTCGGCTTCGGCCACGATCTCTTCAAAAATAAATTGCGCGAGATCACATGGGATTCCACTGCCAATGTAGTACAGTAGAAGTCCCCTTCTTCGAGTCAGAGTACCGTGGTAAGCAGTGGGGAACCAATTTGTAGTTCCAATACCAAATAAGAGACGGTACTTCATGGTAAGATCAGTCGTCTTGAGAGGCCATGTGCTCAGCTTGCCTCCAGTAAGCGTGGATATCAAGTCAGAGTCAGCAACTGTCGGAGCCACAGTTCCAACTGTTGACAGATCAAAGAGAGATGCAATACGAGTAGGATTGAACTCGTAGACTCGATTAAAAACATAAACCCGTTCGTAAAAACGACTTCGACTATCAGAGACTCCACTAGTTAGGTTGGCATAAAAATCATGAACCACTTGACTTTCAAAGTGAGATATTCGAGTCACAGTGGCAAAAATACCAGCACGACGGAGTAAATCAGAAATACCAAAATCATCAAACGAGGGACCTAAGGGACGTTCGGAGACAAGAGCTCGTTGACTTACCAGACGCCACCGGATTTGATGCGCTCGGATAAAGAAGCGAGAATTGAAAGCATCGACAGCAGAGATAGGCACCACAGTAGCTGGTGCAGAGTTATCAGCGGTGGTGGGAGTAACGGACGGCGAGGCAGAGTAAGTAGTGTGGCGAAGAGAGCGACGGGGTGGCGGTGGTGTGGGGGCAGGGCCCTTGCCTTTGTTGACCGACGAGGATGGCGGCGGTGGGGGTGAGGCCGGTGCGGTTGGTGACTGTGGCGGCGATGGCGGTTCAACTGGTGGTGGAGACGATTGAGAAACCGGCGGGTGTGGCAGCGGAGGAGAAGGTGGAGAATAGGTGAATGGTGACGGTGGCGTCACTGGCGGCGACGACGGTGGAGAAACCCTAGGAGCCAAAACAACTGGCAGATTGCCAAAATTTTCAGCGGAGGCGGCCGTGAGAAGGAGTGGGGGCTCCCAAAAGGCGAGAGGCACGGCATCCGGCGGCTCCCCGAATGCAGATCGGTGACCAGAACGGCGAGGCGGCACTGAAGTCGCTGGCGATGTGGTCGCTGGTCGAGAGGGTCGTCGTTTGGACGAAGAAGACGATCCACCGGTGCATTTTCGTTTCCCCATAACTGTGCTCTTGATTTCCTTTGATTTGAGTGCAAATTTGGGGGTTTGCTGCAAAGGGAGAAGAGGAAGCAACAGAGCAGTAGGGAAGAAAAATTGAAAGAAAACGTGAAGGGGCAGAATACATGGATGACTGTTGTTCTTCTCATGGGTATTTTAGCAATTTAGGAAGAGTATAGTGAAAAATTGCAAATATTATTCTGCCAACAATGAGTTTAATTAATGAAAACTAAATTCAGATATAGCAACTCTCAACCTTCACATATGAAGCCCAACACAGTTCAAGAAAACTTCGAGAAGAAAAAAAATGCTCAGAAAAGTGGGTTACTCTGGAAAAATTGATTACCGCCAAAACTACGAACCCACCCCGTTTTTTTTTTTTTTTTTTTTTTTTTTTTTTTAATCTTTTTTTTTTTATCTAATGCCTAACATGAAGAATTGAATTACTAGGACGAAAAAAAATAAGCGTGAATGAACAAAAAAAAATAAGCGTGAATGAACAAAAAAAAATATGAGTGAGTAAAACGAGTGAATAAGATACTATTAGGACTATCAAACCCATGGGGTTTATCTTCAATTTTAACAAAAAACAAGCTCCAAAAGACAAACTAACGAGACTAACAATAAATTTAGTACCCTCAAATCAAGCACAAAAACGCTCTTATTAGGTAGCATACACACCCTACTAATGGTAGCTTTTTCATGAAGGGCTGAGCAATTTAAATAGCGAGATAGTTGTGGTCGTGCAATGTGTAGTCCCCTGGGCTTTCTAATTGAGTCGTGTAGTGAGTGTTCGGTCATGTGTTTTACCGGCTCGACTAAAAAAGGCTTCGAACTATTCACTGACCGTATAAAAAGTTTACAATGGTCGTGCAATGTGTAGTCCCATGGGCTTTCTAATTGAGCCCTGTAGCGAGCTTTCGGCCACGTGATTTACTGACTCAACTCAAAAAGGCTTCGAACTATTCACAGACCAATTGATTATATATAGTTAAACAAAAATTCAAGAGTAGCTTTCACTCATTTGGAGAGGCAGCTTTTCCTTATGAAAGTGTTAAACCATGACGAGATTGTGCAGAGTAGTAAATAAGCTAAAGTCTCTATAGCTATCATTCGGGGATTGATGAAGTTTTACCTCACAAAGTTCGAAAGTACAGATAGTATCCAATACACAAGAGTTTTCATCACATGCAGTATGACTAATGCATAACCTAGATGAATAAAATGCAGTATGTGTGATGTGTCCCAAAAAACTTAAAAGTTGGAAGTCTGGACACAGACTGTTGCAACAGTTTATGCAACTGCACAGGTCAAACAATACAGATTCCAATCGAATTTCGCAAGGAATCGAACCTATGTGCATCTAGGGGTTTAGTAAAGATGTCAGCAAGTTGTTTTTCTGTTGTGACATACTCTAATGAGACAGTTCCTTCCTCTACCAGATTTCTAATGAAATGGTAATGGATTTCAATATGCTTAGTTCGAGAGTGCTGTACTGGATTCTTGGAAATATTAATCGCACTCATATTGTCACAATAAATATGCAATAAATCTTGACTAATACCATAATCACATACCATTTGTTTCATCCATAAGAGTTGGGCACAACAACTACCTGCGGCGATATATTCCGATTCGGCAGTGGAAAGCGAGATACTATTCTATTTTTTGCTGTACCAGGACACGAGATTGTTCCCAAGATAGAAGCATCCTCCAGTTGTGCTTTTTCGATCATCTGCATCACCTGCCCAATCAGCATCGCTAAAGCCTGCAAGTGTTGTGTTAGTATCCATAGAATACCAAATACCGAAATCAATTGTTCCACTTACGTAGCGAATGATTCTTTTGACAACACTTAGGTGGCATTCCTTGGGATTTGATTGATACCTGGCACAAACTCAAACACTATAGCTTATATCTGGTCGATTAGAAGTAAGATACAAAAGACTACCTATCATGCTTCAATATAGTGTGGGATCTACAGAGGTTGCATCCAACTGTCGCGACAGTTTGTCGTTCGTTCCCATAGGAGTTCTAACAGTTTTTGCAGATTCCAAACCAAAACGTTTGACAAGGTTTTTTGCATACTTGGATTGAGTTATGACAATTCCATCACTCATTTGTTTAACTTGAAGACCTAAAAAATACGTGAGTTCCCCAACCATGCTCATTTCAAATTCACTAGACATTTGTTTAACAAATTCTTCAATTTTTGTTTGAGAGGTAGATCCAAAAACGATATCGTCAACATAAATTTGAGCAATCAGGATGTCTCCCTTTGATTTTTTTAAAGAAAAGTGTTCGATTAACGCTACTCCTAGTGTATTTCTTGTGCGATAAAAATTCTGTAAGACGCTCATACCAAGCTCGAGGCGCTTGTTTGAGACCATACAGGGCTTTGTTTAATTTGAAAACATGTTTGGGATAATGTGGATCTTGAAATCCTTTGGGTTGTTCAACATAAACTTCTTCTTTTAAAATACCAATTAAGAAGGCGCTTTTGACATCCATTTGAAAAAGTTTGATTTTTAGAAAACAAGCAATGGCTAGGAGTAATCGAACAGATTCTAGTCTAGCAACAGGAGCAAAAGTTTCATCGAAGTCAATGCCTTCGATTTGACTATAGCCTTGAGCAACTAATCTAGCTTTGTTACGAACGATATTTCCATGTTCATCAGACTTATTTTTAAAGACCCATTTTGTACCTATTATATTGACATTGTCAGGCCTAGGAACCAAGACCCAAACGTCATTTCTAACGAATTGTTCCAGTTCCTCATGCACGGCTTGAATCCAATATTCATCTTATAAGGCTTCTTTGACGTTTTTGGGTTCTATAGTCGAAGTGAAACAAACATACCTTGCCATTTCCTTGTAGTTCACCTTGGGTTTACCTCTGGTTTGAATTCCTTGTTCTACCGACCAATGACTTGATCCACTGGATGATTCTTCTTGACTCTTTTTTAGGGTTCCTTGTGAGTTTGATCATCCAATTCGAGAGGGCTGACTTCAGCTTCATCTCCTGTTTCAGAATTAACGTCACTTTCTTCTAAAATGGTAGAGGCTACATCAACTGTTGGAACTGTTGGTGTGACACTGGAGCTGTTGTCTGATTCCTTTGTTGGTTCCTCTTCCAGTGGTCCTGCATTATTGTTAAAATCATCAAATTGAACATATGCAGATTCCATCACATATTTTGTTCTAAGATTGAATATTCTATACGCATGGCTATTTCGAGAGTAGCCTAAGAATATTCCTTGATCACTTCTAGCATCGAATTTCCCAAGCTGTTCTCTGTCATTCAAAATATAACAAGTACAACCAAAAGTACGAAGATAGTTGAGTTGAGGTTTTTTACCTTTCCAAATTTCGTAGGGAGTTTTAGTGGTACCTGGTCGAAGATAGACTCGATTTATAATATGACATGCAGTATTAACTGCTTCAGCCCAAAAACGAGGAGCGATCTCCTTTGCGTTCATCATGACCCTGGCCATTTCTTGCAGAGTGCGATTTTTGCGTTCAACCACTCCATTTTGTTGAGGTGTTTTAGGTGCGGAGAATTCATGAGATATTCCATATTTTTCACAAAAGTTAGTAAATAAAGAATTTTCAAATTCTCTCCCATGATCGCTCATAATTCTCACAATGTCACGCTGTTTCTCAACACTCACCTTTTTGCATAATTTTTTAAACACATCAAAAGAATCGGATTTTTCCCTAATAAATTCTACCCAAGTAAATCTTGAAAAATCATCTACACACACAAATATGTACCGTTTTCCACCTATACTTTCTACTTGCATTGGTCCCATAAGGTCCATGTGTAGGAGTTCTAGGTTTCCACTGGTTCTCACATTAGCTAAAGCCCTGTGTGAACTTTTGATTTGTTTACCCATTTTGCAATCACCACATATTCTTCCTACTTCTTTAGTGAGTTTGGGCAGACCTCTAACATACTCACTGCTGGAAATTTTTATGAGATTATCAAAGTTCAGATGTCCTAACCTTTTGTGCCAAAGCACTGTAGAGTCTGACAGACTGTTAAAACAGTTCATACCAGTAGATACAAGAATATAGCAGTTGTCAGATGATCGAGTTCCTTGAATAACACAATTCTCGTCTTTGTCTAAGACTCGACATGCGAATTTGTTGAATCTGACTTCAAGATCTTGATCACATAACTGGCTGATGCTTATCAGATTTGACGTGAGTCCTTCTACAAGTAGTACATTCTTCAGGTTTGGCAGATTCTCATGATTTAGCGATCCTTTCCCTAGCACTTCACCATTTTTTCCGTTTCCAAAGGTAACAGCTCCACCGGTGATTTGTTGATAGTTTTTCAGAAGTTCTTTAGCGCCGGGCATATGTCGTGAACAACCACTGTCAAAATACCAATCATTAGCAGTACTTGCTTTTAAAGAAATAATGGTAGATAAACATTTAAACGTGGACTTTTCAACCCAATTTTTTTGCTGAGGCCTATTTGAGATATCAATTTTATTTTTGGTTTTTTGAGAGGGTGCAGGAAAGTGATCAGCCCTAGCAGAGTATAGAGAACGAGCCACTAGTTTTTTCACAAGCTTCAAGTATTTGAAACATCTAGGGCGTATGTGACCTGGATTTTGACAGAAAAAACAAATGGGAATAAACCTTTTCTTCGAATGGAGCGTCGTTGCTTCAACAGTTGCAACTGTTTGTGCGACAGAAGTTTGTTTAACAAAGTTGATTTTTCTGTTTTGATCTTCTTTTTGTTTTAGATCAACTTTGGGCAGCTGACTTGCTCCTATGCCAAGACGATTATAGTTCGGCTTATGGTTATTTAGAAGTTCATCTAAATTACCTTTACCCATGTTCAATTTTGCAATTACTTCTTGAGTTTGAGTAAGTTTAGCCTGCAACTGATTTTTCTCTTGATCACTAGATAGGACCCTTTCCTCAAGAGTAGAGATTCTTACCTTTAATGTCTTGTTCTCCTCTATAAGCACAAACTTCTCCTTTTCAAGGAAGTCATTTGTCTTAACAACGTCAAGCCATTTTTGATACATTTTCTCATATACCTCATTTACTTCCTCCAAGGTTGGTTCTTCCTCATCACTGCTGCTGTCCAGATCCTCTGCAAAAAAAGAATTTGTGTTTAGATTTTTGTCATTATCAGAACACACATTTTCATACCTGGATTCTGTTTCACAGTCTGTTGCAACAGTTGTTTCTGAGCTGTTCAGAGGAACCTTGCTGCTGAATGCTACAAAATTAGTGACTTGATCGTTGTTTCCTTGGTCATCATCAGAGTCTTCTTCATCACTCCAAACAGTAGTAAGTGACATTCTTTTCTTTTTCTTCAAGGTGTTTGCGCATTCTGATTGAATGTGACCAAAGCCTTCGCACTCTCGGCATTGTATTCTTCTCGGTTTTGACTCCTCTGGGTTATCTTGATTTGAATTTCTCCTGAGATTTTGAAAATTCACAGGTTTCCCTGCGTTGGAAGGATTTCCCCTTTTTCCGATTTTTTTGAGAAATTTCCCAAAGTTTTTCGATAACAGTGCCAAGGATTCTTCAACCGTCTGCTCATCTTCTTGAGTTGGAGAACTCTGGGATATTCCATATGACGCTTCTGCTTGAAAGGCTATCTTCTTATCTCTAGGCTTTTCACGATGATTTTCACCATGATTGAGTTCTTGAGCTAGAAGTTTTCCCATGAGTCCGTCTAGTTTGAGCGTGTCAACATCTCTGACTTCTTCAATCGCAGCAATTCAGTAAGCAAATCTTTCGGGTAATGAGCGCATTGCTTTTCTCACTAATTTGCTTTCTGAGTAAGGTTCACCGAGTGCGTATGATTCGTTGGAGATATCGCATAGTTTAGCATGGAAGTCAGTGATCGTCTCAATTTCCTCCATCTTTAAACTTTTAAATTTGGTGGCCAGCATCTGTAACTTGGATGTCCTTACAGTTGACGTTTCTTCGTATGTAACTTGAAGGATTTCCCAAGCTCTTTTTGCGGATTCACATGATGCTATGAGTTTGAATTGGTTATCATCCACACCACTAAAGATCGCGTTTAGGGCCCTTGAGTTGTAGTTTTCGAGTAGTATCTCTCCATCACTCCAATCTGCTTCTGGTTTGAATACTTCCACTTTATCTTCCCCTTTGATCATGGGAGGTGTCCAACCGGTTATGATGGCGCGCCATGCTCTTTCATCTATGGATTTGGTAAACATCTTCATTTTTTATTTCCAGTATGAGTAGTTGGAGCCGATTAGGAGAGGTGGACGAGTAGTTGAAGCTCCTTCTCGTTGGGTATTCATATGTGCACAAAATAAAAGTAATTAGTTCCCAAAATCTCGCTAGATGTATTTAGTGACAGGCTCTTGATGCCAATTGTTAGAATTATTTCGTGCAAATTAATTATATATTTGTGTCCGATGAATTCCAGATTCAGTTTTAAATACCGTTTTACTGTTTTACGAAGAGTTGCAAAAGTTAATGAAACAGTAATAAAAAGACACAAATTTTAAAGTGGTTCGGATACAATTGTACCCTACATCCACGAGGACCTGCAAATGAAATTTACTAATCTTTAGTTTTACGAATACAATAATATGACTTAATCGAAATGCAAAGACTCCCTCTTTGTCGACGCCGTTCTTGTATACTACGCTGAATTATCAATCTTCACTTTGCAGCACGTCCTTGTTCCGCACGATTGAAATTCCTTCAACGCTGAGTCCCTCAGTCGGCGGATCGACCTCCTCCCGAGATCTTCTGAGTTCTCCTCCCGAAGAACCGATCTTCTTTTCGGTGAAAGAAGCAAATCCTTTTTCTGTATTTTTCTTCTCGAATTAAGATCGAAAGGTCTGAAGCAGCAACGTAAGAGCAGAAAATAATTTTTCTCTCAAAAATAAAAGGGACAGCCTTCACACACGTTGATGCTCTTCTTTTTATATTTCCTTAGTTGAATAGTAGAGCCCTACACAAGATTATAGCCCATTAGGTTAGTTTTAATCTCACGTAAGGAAAAAAAAGAATTGTGTAACAAGGAAAGTCTTTGTCAAGAAAATTCCTTGTTAACAAAACACTTAGGCAATTACATAAATTAGTGACAGAATAAGAGTTTAAAGAACTA